GAATGCATGCTTTTCTGTGTGCGATTCCAAAAGGAAACAAAAACAAATAAATCTCACAATGACGTGCAGTAAACAAATGAGATATTTTCATTTCCAAAGTTGACTGTTTTTTTTTGTTTTTGCTCTTTCGTTGCCATATTTTGCTTTATACCCATGGTTGTATTGGCGCCGTATTAGTAATAATTGTTTATATATATATATATATATATATATATATATATATATATATATATATNTCTAACCAATGACCATATGTCCAGTAACCCGAAGGAGGTTCGTATTCATCATCGACGATATCCTGCAGCTAGGGCTTCCCACCTCCTTGCCGACGGCTCGTTAACCTCGTTATGCCTTGAGTATGAGTCTGCTACTCCCTTAATCCAGTGGAACCATTTCCGCAATGATCAGACGATAAATGTGATATCCCACCAGATGAATATGAACACCCTTCTGCTGAGACCCTGGACGGTTAGATCGGTTCACCGAAACACCGATCTCTAAATTACTGTGGTGTCTGGGGTCACTCGACAGGTTCAAACAGCTTCGTTATGTTTTCTGTTGCACTGTTTTCCGTTTGTTTGAATGTATAACGCCCGTTGTTGCACGGCAATGAAATGAAAAAAAACACTTGCATTGCGCTTTCACGAACGTTTCTTGTTCCATTTTCCATTTATAGCTTCCGATAAAACGAACGAGAGCGCGGCAACGTTGAAGCGTACTCTTGAGGATGTTAATAGCAGCACCATAGACATTGACATATTGAATACACCGGATTCCAACTGTCCACACTCGGCGAAACGCGCACGTCTAACCGTACCAGAAGTGGTTTTGGACGATGATGTCGAGGATGACCTCATTCTCATGGACTGATGATACGCTGCACATTTTTCACTAACTGGAAGAAAACAAACTTGTTATATTTCATTAAATGTGTTCGTTTCTCATTGTTTCCTATTCTCCAATTCACTGTACACTTTCCCTCATGCAATCAGTACACCAAATAAACTGTTGCTCCCTGTCTCTGAATTCGCACATAGTATCGTTTTCCACTAGTTAAATTTTGCTGTCTACGAGATGCCTACGTTAGTTTGTTGCTGCTGTGTGTTTGGGTTTGCCATATGCACCAGATCTAACAAATTGTTTGTTTCGTTATTGTGGGAAATGCTCAAAACCAAATCATCCTCTTGTTCAATAAGGATCGTGTCTTGATAAACTTTAGAAGTGTCGCATACAGTCCCAGTTGTATTTTCCGTGCACAGTACAGCCCTGTTCAATTGTTTGTATACTTTCTCCAGTGTTGAAATGTGAGCTACGTCAAGCTTTTAAAAGCCGACGGTTGACGCATCGACAATGTGAGTTGTCATAGAGTGTTTTATGTGATGCACACTCCGACAGCAAGAACGAATCGGTATGGTACCCAGTGCGTAGCCAGGTCGCGAATATGGTAGCGGCCGTCGTCTCGCTGCTAACTCTGAATAAGATGGGCGAGTGTGCTTTCTCAGATGATCAGCAGCAGTACTCGAGGATGCAATGAATTCACCACTTATCAAGGGTTCTCCCCACAAAACACCACATGAATTTCAAGACAGCTCTGTGACGCGTGCAAGTTTGACCCGCCACTGAAGATGGATTTTTTCATCTTATCGTGTTCCATGTACCCGACAAGTTTTTTCCAGACAAGGCAAATGAACCGGCTCTTCTGGAACAATACTTCAGCTTGGTAGTCTGCGCTTGCTTTTCATTTTTACACGTCCTTTGAGGTGATCATTTGGTGACGTTACCACGTTGCCGCTAGCGCCCAAAGGCTAGAGTGCACCCTCGAACAGGGCCTACTCTGAACTGGGTGACCGAGTAGTACAATACCAAGGATGCAAAAAATGAACTTTAACTTCTCCAAGAAGTCGCTCTCAGAGAAAAACGTTCTGCACCGTGCACGTTTTCCCAATTCTTACTCCACGTCATATTCAACCCCCCCTCCCCCAAAAATTCTCGGTATCATCAGGATCTTCAGACGATTGTACTACCAGTTGTGCCTCAGATGGAAATTCTGCCCCTATTATCTCGCGTCCTGCCACGTGTAGGGTCCAAGTGTCACCGAATCCTCCACCAGCTGAAGCTCTTCTTTGTGCTCGATACCCGTTCAAACTAGTGACATTTAACGTGCGTACTCTGATACTTATAGGATAACAGGCATGTTTAGCTCTTACCCTGGAGACCCTAGTCATCGATGTATTTTGTATCCAAGAAACTCGCATTCAAGACTCCAGCTCCGTCATGCGATTGACGTCCCAATCACACCCATCCGCGAAGTTTCACTAACGTCTTTCTGAGGACCCTGAAGCTGCGGCTTCTGGTCCTGCTGCCGTTGGCGTTGCTCTCAGTGATAGAGCTGAAGCCGCGCTTCTAGATTGAATCCCATTCGACAGTAGGTTATGCGTGGTGAAGCTCAGAGGCTTGTCGTCCCGGTAGACGCATTTTGATTGTCGTCGTAGCGTACGCACCCACTAACTGTTGCCCAGTTGCAGTCAAAGGTAATTTGTACCAAATGCTACAGTAGATTTCTGTCGCTTAGAGAACGGGGAACGGATGTTTGGCTCTATGTTTGGACCAACATCTTTTCCTCGGCAGTACGAACTTTAAGTATTTCAGCTGCCGTTACAACACCTAACGTCCGCCCTGTTCCAACCAGCTTCGAGCGAAAATCGACCACATCGCTATAAGCCGCAAATGGTGGGGTTGCATACACGATGGCCGATCGTGCTGCAGCACTCCCTGTGTATCCTACTAAGCATTAGTTCTCGGCAAGCTGTCCATGTGCTTCGATGGGCGTTCTAAATGACGATACAACTGTGATTAGATCGTGGTAAGTTGTCTTTACCCGTTTGCTGACGTCGCGATTGGGCTAAGTGTCTAGGTTGAGCACTCGCTTCTTGACTGGATTCCAGTCAGTCGTCGACTGTGCGCTGTACGTGTTAACGGTTCAACAGCTACGGAGCGAAGCTTCGATGCTTAGTCGTCACATCGGTGTATACTTTGACCGATCGCAGTACATTTAAAATCGAGGATGAATTCTACGAGGATCTTTCTCAGTTGCCTCACAACGTCATCAGTTACCACCGGAGGGTGTCGATTCCAGTCTGCTCCTGTCACTGGTAAACCTGTTGTTACGCTTTGTTGAGCCAAACTCACCTGATAAACAACCGCAATCAAGTCATTGACAACGGATACCGACGACATCATGTGAGTGATTGTTGCAAATCGGCCTTTGGAACCGAACTCTCCGATCGCGTGTCAGTTCAACCACCAACCGAAGAAGTCAATGAAATGTGGAAGTAAATCAAGCAGACTATGCTAATATCGAAATAAAATAACGGCGCACTCTGGAGCAGGCTCAACACAATCGATGTATCTGACCCACCTCGGCTACCCCGCTGGACACCCACAGAACAACAAAACGCGCAAATCCCTTAAACTCCAGCTCACCAAGAGTTTGAGGATTAACCGCGAGAAGTGATGGATAGGAAAGTGTAGAGAGATGGAGAAGGCTGCGGCTTTTGGCATTATCGCAAACTCATCCGTCTTATTAGGAATACGGGCCTTAGGAAAATAGGCATAAGTGATGTATTTAAGGTATCCGATGGCACGCTGATTAACCATCAGCACCATCGTCTTGAATGATGGGCTTAACATTGCGAGACTCCGTTCAGCTGGCCCCCATGGACATCTGATCTATCGCTTCCCATCTGCAATAAAGTTTTCCCGAGAAATAAGTTATCTCAAAAGACATAAGGCCATCGATCTGGACGGGTTGTACCCATCAGCTCTTAACGATGGAGATTCAGCCTTGGTTTCAGAGTTAACAGAACTCCTGGGCTCAGTATGGGGGAGGTAAGAGGTTCCAACTATATAGTACGAATTGGTGATCATTTCGATTTCTAAGATAGGTGACAGATTTTCTTGTGGAAACCACAGAGGAATTAGTTGATTCAACATCACCTCTAAACTTCTCGGTGGCTTCATACTCCGTCGGTTGTCTGCGACACCTGAAGAGTGCTCACGTGAGAACCAGGCTGGTTTTAAACCTGGTCGAGGTTGTATCGACCACATCTTTACTCTTCGTCAAATTCTAGAGCACCGACACTTTTCGTAGACGCACCATTTCTATCCGAAAATGGCTTTCGACTCAGTCGATTGCTCTGAAATTTGGCGCTGACTCGCTCTGACGGCTTTGCCCGAAAGGTTTATTTCGAAATTACAATCGCTTTATACTAATAGTTGAAGCTGATTCCGAGCTTACGACACTTTTTCGCCTGATTTCATCACGGAAAGTGGTGGTCGTCAGGGTTAGTTATGGAATCAACCCTGTCCTCGTGCGAGAATAGTGGCATCGATTTACTCCTAGGTGGCAGACTGTCTGATCTAAAGTATGCAGGTCACATTGTGGTGCTAGTTGAAGATTCGGTTTGCAAGCTTTTCTGGACGGTTTGCATGCCACTGTTCAGGGTGCGTTTTGCACCCTCAAAGTGTAAAATGTTACTACAAGACTGGGTTGGTCCAGCACCCATCCTCATTCCAGATGGGGAAGAAATAGAGCAAGTGGATAAGCTTTGGTAGACGCATCACGGAAGAAGTTCTAGCGTGCAAACAGGAAGCGCGGTTAGCATCTTGGGCGCCGTCGCGACATCCGGCTGTCTGTAAATGGTCGGGTGTATTACGCGGCAGTTTGGTCATTTCGGGTATACTGTGCAGAAACTGGGCCATTAAGGAAACAGAATAAAGATAGATTGTTGGTACTCGAATACCGCTGTCTATGCAGCATTGCACGAGTCTGGTGGGGAAACCGGACGAGCAATGCTGAGGTTGCGCGCAGAGTTTGAGGTATTCGCGGTCGGTAACTGGAGCAAGTTGTCGACCTCTATAGATTACGTTGGATGGAGCATGTGTTACGCATGTCACGAAATAGATTGCTACGACGAGCGTTGTTCGCCGATACAGATAGTGAGTGGAAGAAAGCCTAGGGCGGTCAAATGAAGACCTAGCATGAGAGTATGAAAACCCTAACCAGAAGACTGGGTCACATAGGTCTCGTTTAGCTCCCTGGCTGGGGACCTCGGGATGGTTAGAGACTGTGTCGTAAACAGTAATGTTGGTGTATCTTGTCAATTTCTCTGTCACATTAGTCCACTGAAACTCAATTTTCTCTTCGGTTTTGCTTCGAACCTCCCTGTCTTCCTACTGTTCATACATACGAGCAACCAAAATTGCAAGTGCCCATTAGTCATCATTATCGTTATTGTAGATTCTAATACAGCGACGCGAACTCCACTGGTCGCTGCAAAATTCATAATGCATGCAAGGTAAGTGAGTATGTGTGAGGGGAAAAGAATTGAGCCTACTTTTATGGACGGGATAAGAAATGGTACCCTGCCGGTATGGTCAATATCCGGAATACGCAGTTCAACACTGTATGCACACTTCTTCAAGCAGTATGGTATAATGAGAAGTGACAGCAAGATCGCCACTGCGATCGGTTTACTACTGTTGCGGTTAGTAGCATCTAACCACTTATAAAAACGTTGAATCATAGCATTGATTTATCGTTCCCAAAAGGCGGAGAGTAATTATATATATGTATATATATATATATATATATATATATACTCTCCACCTTTTGGGAAGGACACTACCTTCAATGGCATTGGATGTTCGGATTCGCATAGCATCGCGAACCCTAGTTGATTCTTCGATATGCACACAAACCACCATACAGTAATCTTTATGGGGAGAAAACTTTCATATATTCAGTCATTGGAGCAAAACTGCTAGGTTGCCCAAGCGAAAGCAGGTAAAACTTCCTTTGGAATTCACAACCACTAAATCGATCAGCTAAAATTTGAGCCGCCTGGAGGTGAGCGTCGTGCCATGTGGAAGCTGCAATCCACTGGGTGGGGGTATCCAATTTTTGTGCAAATTGGCGCTGGTCTTTCGGAGCATCGAATAGAGATACTAGAAGTTTTTAAAAGACGTTCCACCAATGTTAGACTACTTGATGTAAGATCAATGGGGTAAAGTCGGTAGGTTTCTGTCATTCACCACCGAACGGCTTTATAAAGAGTTTGACGTTGGTGAACGGGTTCGAACCTAGAACCTTGTTACCCATTACTAGTCGGTAGCCGCACCCTCAACTGCTTGATCACTCCCACCGCTTACTGCTGATGGGTCTGACTTATGGAATTGTTTCCTGTCGCTTCCATATGAGCCCTTTTTGCAAGCGTTAAGGCTGTTATTATCACGGCAGTCCCGGTGAATCTGATGAATGTTTACTGTCATTGTTCAATCTACAGACATATTCCATTGATATTAGTCGCATCCTGATAAAAAAATATTTCAAAAAGCACTGAATCTTGAACCACCTGTGTTGTTATTTCACCATGGCAACCGTTGCCATCTGTGTAGCGCATTTTCTGTCTAGCCGAAATAGCTTATTGATCGGGCATTTAACTACCCACACATTTGTGAATCAGATAATCGTGCTTGATGCCGGAATCGTCAGACAAACCGAGCACTCAAAGTTCGTCGAATCAGTTTCATGCCGCCGAACTGGATCGCGCGATTGACTGTCTGTTATTGGCCGAGAAGTCGCATCGTTATGGAGAACCGGAAGTAAATCACTCTTCCCATTTCGAATCTGGGGCTAACTTTCCGGAGTTAGCAAAGAATTTAATCCAGGAACATATGGAACAGCTGTCTGTCTCTCAAACGTCATACTGCTCTTCAAGCCGAATGTGCACATCTGATATCGATCGTGAAAACAGGGTTTCACAGGTAAATCCTTTCACTGGATCGGGTCTTTGAATATGAATTTCTCCGGTTGATTCTGCCAAATCTGTCCATTGAAGTGTTATCCCGTTCTAGAAAGGTGTTGACAGTGAAATGGATGCTTACACTTGTGTGTGTGTGTGTTTGTGTGTTACCAAACGCATCCTAAGCCCGCCGATTCCCAATTAAACGTGAATAGGACTTTTATGTGATATGGCGAATAAAACCCGTTACTTATAGGGCCAGTGCTGTATGCGCTGGCTCAACCGATAAGGCTTTCAGAGGGGTCGAAAAGAAGAAACGGTTGACCGCCGGGCTAATCCGAAACAACCCTTTTAACTTGCAAGTTGCATGTCGATGTGTGAAGGCTTAAAGTATAATCCCGAGATGAAAAGAGGTAAGGTGTTGGGTACATTGATTGTAGTCCTTTTCCCATGGATCTTTATAGATCATTTTGGTCCATGGAGCTATCTTGCCGTTCGTCCTGTCCCTAATCCAGATGGGGGTGGTGTTATCACAGTTGGTAAAAATCAGTGGTGTTACGTGACCGAAAAACGTATTTTCCTATTTTACACTATATAAATGCATCTGCAATACAATGAAGCCTGTACATTAAGTTTTTCACGGTCACTTATTCTTAAGAATGCATCTATTCCTCTTTCATGATATTTGATGTTGATTGAATATGTACCTGTCTCAATCCGTATAATTTGTGGCGACTCTAACATTTCTGATACCCATTTTTCCTGACCACTAGGTTTTCGAAACGTTGTCACCTTTCCCATCAGACTTGATGCATATCTGTATTCGGGTTTGGTCAACCTTCCTCTGCTTTGTGTAGAGTGCTGCCCCTCATTAGGGAAGTCTTATCACTCTATATTTAAATTTCCTCTATTTTAACGGAACTAACCACCATCTCTTTACTGGAAGTCGTGATCACACGCTTCCAGTCAGACGGCGTTCTGCAAACAACCTTAGGCTTAGGCAAATGATCAGCCACTCCGACCTTACTTTGTTTTCCAATTCGAACCCTTTCGTTTTCTGTGATTACTTATAAGTTACCTGAACTTTGGTACGATATTTGTTGTACCTCTTAAGCAATTTGTATCCTCCCCAGATCGATTCTCCTCCTCACACTTCAAAGTGTTTTTGAATTAGAGCTGCATCTGCAACGAAACCGCACTCCCTGCCCTACTTAATTGAGGTAGCATGAAAATGAACGACCCTGTTGTCAGCATTGCCCCTGTCGAAATTTATCAAGATTTGACCCAATCAAATCCACGCTGGTTCAATGGCCCTGATGGAGTCTCACCTGTTGTCCCAAAGGAATGTGCAAGCTTCCTTTTCTTTGTACTGTGTTCACTTTTCAACGATTTCACTTCGCAGCAAAGTATTCACAACTGCTGTAGAGTGGCCCTAATCACCACAGTACCGAAGAAAAACTTCCAAAAATTTTATCCCCATACCTGCACCTCAGTTGTTTTGAGGACGTTTGAGAGGTTCCCCCTAAGACCCTAACCACACGGTTCATTGTTGCTGCTTATCTCTCCCACTTTGTTTTATTCATCCTTGATAAGACAAGCAAGACTGCTCGCATATGTTTTCTAGACTATTTTGATGCGTTCAACACCACTGATAGGCAAATGTTGCTGAATATTCTCTCTTCAGGCGGCGTTTGACCCCCTACGATTCTCCGAGAAAATTCACCTTCCTTAGCCTTCGCAATCTGGTAGTGTCCCAACCACGTCATTAACGTTTTTCTAACGATCAGGAGGCATACGTTTTATGATTTGTGTCCTAAATCATTTTGTATACCAAATCATCTCATAGGTATTTTGTTTTTGCTTGCGTTTTGCCTCACTGGCTCTATGGATCCTGTTATTCTCCCTAATCTTTTTAACAAGGACCACAAACTCTTTCCGATCCCTCAAGATTTATTCGGTGTGTAGTCATATACCACGGGAACATCTGATATAGCATGTGGCACACCACCTGAAGACCTGCAAAACATTCTCCAAGAAGATTTTGTCTGATTGTTCTCATCTCCTGTATCCTGCTCTTAATCACTGCCTTTCTTATTTATCCACTTGTTCCAATTATAAACTTATAAAGTCACCAACGGAAACCTGCATGCACTCCATTGTCCCGTATCTAGTCAGATTCCTCACAAACTATCTACTCTTTGCGGAAAATCTGCTCAAATGCTTATCTAAACCAATGCGATTGGTTTTGTGTTGTCCGTTTCACCGTGTTTATTGTTGTATTATATTTCCCATGTTTTTATTGTTGACACGCTATGGTTATGTGGTTTGCTGAATATCCCTCTCTCGGTGTATGTAACTCGATTCCTTGACTTGACTTTAATGTACAGTCGACTTTCAATCCCGTTGAATGTCATCATTCCCAATTGCCCCATCAGCTACAAGAATTGGCCAATTTGCTTCGGTGCTTGCTCCCTCAAACAGTTGATCACATGAATCAGTTGTCTGAGAGAGTGTATACCGGCGAAAAGTTGGACGAGAGCACCAACCACCTCGTTGTCAATTCAGCGACAAGTGACCTTTCCAATTTCTGCCACGGGCTCAAAAATTTGCAACGTTTCATTACGGTTCACATGGAACTGGCTCAAATTTTCGATGAGATGCAAAACGTGAGAAGTTCGTTCATTATTAGAATCCATTCTCTCAAAACCATGATCTGCATTTTTGTTATTTGAAGAAACGACTGATCTTATTCTTGGGTAACGCCAAGCTCTTTTGTGATTTTACTTAGAACCTGGTCTCAATTTAACACAACACGTTCTTGAGCTATAGAGAGAATGGCATCTGTTGGTTGGATCAGAAAAGAGTTCATTTCATCGCTATCGGAAGTCCATCCTTTTTCAGTCAGTTTAATAGTTGAACTCCTCGCGTAATATAATAAGCAATAGGAAATCTCATGAGGTGCCAAAGATGTTAACTATTTTCACATTTTTGGATAAACAAGTGACTAATGCACTTCTATGCTATGGTTTAGCGGTCATGGCCATCAAAGAGACCTGGACAGTTTTTTTGTCCTGCTTGGTACTCGTCAACAGTGAGTACATTTTGTGTGTCCCTGTTGGGAGTCGACACCTCTACTCCTGAGCTATACTGCCGACAGTTGTCGCCGTCTGTGAGTGGCTCAATCAGTTAACATGGTGGATGTTCGGAAGTTCAGTCAAAGATTTCTGTCACACTTAAATTTATTTGACTGGTTGGGAATTAACGATCTCGCAGGTAGTGAAATCCAAGCCCGAAATCATCAATGCCTGTGGAAAACTGAATGGGCCAATCCAAACATTCACCGTGTAAGTTAACCAGGCCTTTGCGAATATTTTTTTATCCTGAGAAAACATACCAGTTTAAATGAGATTTAAGTGCATTAGGATGCTAACCACCCTTACTGGAATCTTGAATGTTTGGTGCAAAACGTTATTGGACGATCGTGAGATTAACGTTTCCTCTTTCAAGCGATTTACCGATTTCCAGTCCAACCATAATGAGGGACGGTGAGATAGGAATTTTTATGATGTAGTTTCTTGCCTCATGTTCAACAACTGATCGGGGATTATAAAATCAAGAGTCGCACTGTTGCTTTGTTGACATATAACCCCCGGGAGTCGTTACGATACTTTTGCCGCAGCATTTTGCCTTCCTTTTTTCTATCACCAGTCTGTCATGTTTTCTTTTTGCTATAAGTTGGATATTTTAAATTAGAACACGAATTTAGAGGCGGAGAATTCTTTTCATTGCTTCATCTTCTGGTCTGTACAGATCAAATAGGAAAATGGCATTTTGAACGGGGATGGTCATTCAGTCATTCAAAAGTCACGGTGATTGAATTTTTTTCGTCGTTCTACCCTATCTTAGTATGTATACCTAGAAATGGTAATTGTGTTACATTCAGAGGTGATGGGGATGAATGGACAAAACATTTGTTGCGAGGTGTATCTAACGGAAAGCGAAACTGAAAAAAGTATATTTACCTTTTAATATCAAAAGTACATCCCCGTTAGTGTTCTCTGATTTTACTCGTTCTGTCTGGTGATAGATCTAGTGCAATTTACCAGAACGCCTCCACGTATTTATTCACGCCACGCCATCCATCTAATACAGATGCTCCTCCCCTCCATGCTCTTCTCTTTTCCAATGCTGGCTTTCAGACGCTGTCCCGCTTCAACTCGCAATACGAGAAACCCACAACTACTCCAATCGACACGGTATTACGTTTTTCAGACTAGATCAGTGCTAGTTCTGATTCCCTTGGTATGCATTTTCCGACTCTTTCAAATTCCCGGTACCCGTCTGCCCTTCCGTTGCTGTGCCGATAAACTGCTACTTATTTTTTTGCAAATATTATTCCCTACTTCGATACACCTTGTGTTCTCCTTATGTTCCACAGAGTATCCTCGAAATGCGAGTGCTAATGTGTAATGTTCTCATTTCGGTTTCACCGTCTATCATCTCTCGCCTTTCTCCTCGAATGGGCTATTTTTTCTATTTTGGTATACCGTCTGTTCTCATGATGTAGGGAATTTACAGTCACATTTCACGCCTGCTTTCTCATACCAATGGCAACTTGTTCGCTTCTCGGTTGAGTCATTCATGATGTGTGTGTGTTTGTGTGTGCGAATCAGCGATCTTGCACCCTGCGTCTATTAGGCTTGTTAGCTTTGTTGCAAATGGTCTGTTGTCGCTTAAGGTTTATTTTTGCTTCGGGTGAATAGCATTGAAATTTATCGCTATGCCAGTCCAACTACGTGGACAAATACGCCATGATGGATCGCGAAGAACCAATATAAATCAAATATAGCTGTCGAACGCTTGTTTTTATTTATATTCTAAAGGATTGAGTGATCTGCAAACAGTGTGAATCAGCTAGTTATGTGTACATTTACATCAAGTACTAAAAAGCCCTGATCACCTGTCCTGTGATCAAGTGGCTTATACAGTTGCAGTGTGTTTGTTTTGTTCCAGGTTCGAACCTCAGCTGGGTCGATGGATTCGCACCGCTGGTGATATCCAATGAGACAGAAACTGATGTAGTGTCCTTTTTTTAGACTAACGCTTCCTTTGCTCTGTTCACACTGGAATTTGCCTCAGAACTGGATGCTAAGACTTTTGAATCCCGTATATGATTTATAGATTTTTTATCCTACTTAAAGATTCCCGTGCGCAGCGGACACGTAACCGTTCTGGCTCCGTGCATCACCAAAGGGGAACACATAAAAGCAGCGATCGGACATCCTGTAAGGGAACCGTAACATATGACAGTCATTTTTCGGTGAAAGGTTAATGGTGTCTTGAGACAAGTTTGATTTGTATTTATTTTCATACGTTCGATATCAGACTATCCAATAATAAGAAAAATAATAATAGCGAAACATATTATATATAAAAATAATCACAATAAGGAGAAAATAGCCCATAATTTGCTCGAGGACATGCTAATGCTAGGTTGCCCAGACCAGAGGAGTCGATTTTTCTTTGGCAGTTCAAAACTGGAAGCTTCTGCTGGTTAAAGTTTGATCCGCAAGGCAGCAGGGCAGTGTTTCAAATTCACAATCCATGGGAGTCGTTATCCAGTTTATCAGGGGGGGGGGGGCGACCAGCAATAATCCGAGACATCTACCACGGACCAAACTGCGGCTCTCGAAGGCTCTTGAGGCATGGACATGTATCGGTGATGTGAGCTTCTGGGACTAAGCGGTGACCGGTGTCCTCGTGTAACATCGTTTTGAAACTGCTGCTCTATATTACCAGTAAATCACAAATCCATCTAAACGCCGATAGTCCTGTTTCAGCACGTAGGAATGTGATCATTTCCATGATAGCTCCGGATAATCTTTTCACGCGAGCAAACTGTGGTAAACCTTTTGGTAGTTTCTCTAACGTTTTGCTATTTTTTCGATCACGATTTTGCCCATATCGTGTATATTTTTTGGTCATTCAGACAAACCAAGGTTGACGTTTTGTCCCTTACTTGACAGCAAATACAGGTCTTTTTCAATTGGCTTAACCGCATTTAACATAAACATGTTAACCGAACTCGTGCAAAATGGCTCTCATTTAGGAAATGCATTCCAGTTACCAATATCATACGTGTTTATCGATAGCTATGGGTTAACAGTATTTATTCCGAACTTCAGCTCGGATTGCACTCTTCTTTTAAGTTCTCTTGCTTCACCGTTTGGATTTGCGTAACCTTGAATGTCGCGATCATTCATTCAAGGTGAAGTGATGACCGATAATGCCTCTATTATAAATTCTCAGCTTTCGTGTATAACGTCCGAATTTCAGCATTTGCTCATTGTTACAAATGGATAAGAAGTGGAGAGCGTGGTCGCCGTTACAAGCATCGCGCTGGCTGGTGGGTCACGCTAAAACGAAGTTCCGTCAGCAAAATGATATTTCTGTCCATATTTTCAACTAATATTCGCTGACTCGTAGGAAAAAACGATTATGTTCAGAATCAAAAAGCAACAGAAGCAACAATGCAAAACTTTGGAGTTTATTTTACTGAAAAGTGGCTACACAAACTGTGATGATTATTTGGTCAGAGTGGACGGTTTTAATGTTTTCAGGAGCGATCATAATGTGGAATTTCGCAACGGAGGTGGTCGGGGGATCACTTTCGTTAACCGAAGTTGGTGTAGCAACACTCAGTTACTGTTTAACTACTAAACCGGCAAAATTGGTTGTACTTCCGTTCACTGCATTCCCCGCTTTCTCAACAGATTTCCGCTGTGTGCTTTGTGGACGTATATATATCGTTTCTGATACACCCGTCCCTGACGTAACACTGTTTGCAGATACTATATTTTGGCTTTTGTTAGNTATATATACAACATATATATACATACAATCGGAGATCTACCAGTGGCACCTATCTCCCGATATGATTGTCAACTCCGGGCCCAGTTCTTCTCAGAAGAATGAATCGATCTTCAAAATATGATCCTCTGACGGAAGAAGTGTAACTTTTAAACTGTGACCTGGAATGCGCTCACATGTGTTTTCCGAACGGAAACGAGGAAACTATATTTCTGAGGAAGCTTGGTCCATCTACGTCGGAAAATATCAATGGAAGCACAACAGATTAGCATGTGCTCCTCACGGAAGAACTGTCCACACCTTCGTTGATTCAACTAGAAGATTGAGCTCCGAAATGGGAAATACAGTTTGACAAAACGAACCATATACAGTATATCATAAAAGACCGACAGCGTGTCCACTTATACAACATTTGAAATAGAGGGGTTTGAAAAGCGCAATGATTCACAGACTTTACACTCAGTGCGGAAGAATGTTTTGGTTCTGTTGGACTTTGGATCGTTATACCACGGTTCAACTGTTTACTGATAATGCAGTCTTTTATCTTTCTCTTGTATCCGATTTGCCTACGTTGTCAGAAGATTGAGGCCTCGTTTCCGGCTCTCACTTTTCTCTCTATCGTTCATCGCACAATTATTCAAGCTCATCACAATAGTAGCATAATGTGTCACTTGTGTTGATTAGTCTTTGTGCATTACCGCTGATGATCTTAATCGCTTTGATAATTCCTTCCTAACCACTCTACATTTAGTGAACCTTGTCGATTTCCCAACCCGAAATGATGCTTATCTCGATAGAATATGTTTAAATAGTCTCAATTTGTTTCATGTTTTTGAACGAGCCCCCCCCCCTTTGTCGAAACCATTTATATGCGAACTGACAGGTTTTTCTCGTCCCTGCCTAATTTACTCTGTCTTGCTAAAAAACAGCCTACATGACCGGTGGGCTGTGCTGTTTACAGTTGAAGTAAGACGCCTGAACGGGATGTTCGTTGAGACTGTTTTGGGTAATAAAAGCTGAGATGCGGACGAAACTCTATGCCTCACGCAACAGTTCTTGTCCCAAAGTTGAGGTACTCAACCATCAATTCTCTTCTGTACCGTCCTGCCTGCACATCTGTTTTGCTTTTGAAAATGCTTTACTGCATTGAAGGTAGGGATTTTCAAGGTTCTATTTTCCCCCTCTTTTTTCTGTGTTTACACAATCCTCCCAGCCCTAGTAACTTTGTTGCTTGGGCGTATGCTAATAATGTGTGTGCGTATGGGATTGGTGGATATGATTAGTCGATTGTGTGTGGTTTATAAAAAACATTCTCGGTGATGGGTGGATGGGACTAGAGGGTTAGGACACAGTCAAGGTTAACCATCGTCTGTATGGGGTACATGGTCAATCGAAAGGCTCAAGGGTTCATGGAACTGGTCACTTCCAATCATGCGATTGAATTCACTACGTGGTCATGGTAGTTGAAGTGCGTTAACAAATCGCTATTTAGGAACAAAGTGACGGATTAAACTAACGGATAGTCACTGCGTCAGCTGTTGCTAAGTGTTGACGAACAGTCTTAGACGGAAAAGGAGTCACCCGGTAGATGACCTTAAATGTATCTTCATTCACAGTATGCCCCGTATTTGCGAGATTCTCCACAATGGCACTGGAGATGGTTTTTCTGACCGATGTAGTCAAACAGGCTGGTTTGTGTTCCTTGATCCTCTGCGTATGTCAGTGAACAGAGATCTTGGTGAAGCTTTATCGTTAGGATTTATTTTCTACACCTCGATAGGTAAAGATGATCAAACTGAAAATCGAGGTTCAATTTGTAAATGTGTATTTTGATACAGGCAATTTGTCAGCCGTATCTGGGAAATCAATAGACGCTCTCAAGACCATGTTAGTGGATTGCTGTCACCAGTATCGCCGTATTGGGAAACAACAGAGAAACCTGCTGAATTGGAAATACTGGAATGCGTTAAACAACAAAGATATTATTATTGGTAAGACAAAGGCTACGGAGTCGTCCTGTTCGTTTCTGATGATTGCATAATTAGGATGTCTGAAATTTTACGGGATCCCACAAAATTCACCCAAGTACCAAGGGAGAAGGATAAGAATAAAACTGTGAAGGAACAGGAAACCGACGGTTTGAAAACATTGAGAGAGTACTATGATATCTCAACAAGTACGTGAGAACAGCTGCGACCCACGAGAACCTCTATTCCCCGTTTATACGGTTAACCTAAAGTACATCAACCATTTATACCGTTGAGACCAAAACTTGACATGAATGCCTCGCCATATCACTCAGCTACCAGATGGCTTTCAGGTAAACTGGAGCCGGTTCGTCGACACATTTCACGTTTAAGTTTGAAAGATGTTCCAGTTCGTAGAGCTTTTGAGAGAGAAGAACATAAATGGACCGATGATGGACGCTTTAGATGTCACTTCGTTATTCACTAATGTGCCACTTTGGAGACGATTTCATACCTGTGCGATTACTTAGTGGAAAACGACATCAACATTGGTATTCCACTGAATAGCCTCAAGGAATTGTTACTCCGTTGCACGTTTAACGTTCAGTTCATTTTCGACAATGAAATCTATCGTCAGACTGAGTAGCCATGGCTTCTCAACCACGACCCTGAATGGCTGATATCTTTATAACCAAACTGGAAAACCATGAGCTCAGAACAACCATAGATAGTCTACCTGTTTATTGTTGGTATGTGGATGATACCTTCTTTTTGACACTTGAAAAAACCTCGTTGGAAATGCTATTGAGTAAATTCAATGAGGCGCACGCAGCTATTAGTTTGACATCCGAAGATACATTCCTTTTTCTCGATCACACGACGTGGTGGTGATTACCTGAATAGAAATGTTTATCGAAAGCCAACATGGACTGGGCAATATATTCACTTTGCCTCTGAGTGGTTGGCCTCATTGGTTGAACACTGAGTGTTATCCGATGGATGGCGCAAGCAGGATGCATCTCTCAAGATATGGGAGTGAGAAGAGGAAATAGACGGTTGAGAAAGACGGTTCTCCAAATGGGTACCTAAGACTTGGGCCGGCATACTTCGCGGTTGCCCACACCGACGAAGGGGGTTTTTCTTTGGGAACCCGAACCGTAGTTTTCAACTCAAAAGTCTGACACACAAGGCAGTGGGGCGTAAATCCCACGTTGGAGTGACCGAATCACCCGTGTGGGAGCTTCTAGAGACCTGTCACGCAAGGACTTTGAATTTCGGTGTGAGTCCCACTTCTTTTTTCTTTGTACATACAGAACCTTCCCATTCCCAGTAACTATATTGCTTGCAAGTTACCGATGATATTAGGATCGGCTGCCCTTCCCCTAGTTCAGTCAATTTCCAGCCTCTCCAGAACAGCCAGAAGCAAAAGCTGTTTGACAGTCAACTTTGTGGACTCCATGCAAAGCGACTGGTTTTAGTGCTCAAAAACAAAGAGGAGCAAATGGAACATTGACAAAATGATAGTACAATACCTGTGCCATGCGTAGGAGTCATCTCAAACGTCGTTTTACTGAGGTCCTGTTAATTTTACAGCCGATGCTCCAGAAACCGTCGTCAAAATCGATAACTCGTTAATTTTAATGGTATCCGATGGTTAGAAGTAAAATTAAAAGGGGATATTATTTCTGACATGCTGCGCCTGATGTGGGGCAGTATCATATTCCATCCCTTAAGTGAGGCTCGAAACATCGAGAGTCAAAAGTCAGGATGCTGCACGAGCCTAATCAATGCCATTATATACTAGCATTCAATAAAAGTGCCCGTCTTTCATATCCTCGATTATTTCTCACAAAAATTCATGAATATCACCCACCCTACGAAAACGTGGTGAGCGGGCATTGGTAGCATATGTCCAATCTATAGGATTCGGTGCATTCCTTTAGGCTAAGTCATCTTCAAATCTGGCCAAGGCTCACACAGTGATGCCATCGGACATGAGCCCTAATAACAGTGTTGACCGATGTACGTTTCACCTGATATGCCTAATTCATCTTTCATATTCGATGATTGCAGTCATTTGCGATTTGTGTTGTGTGCATACTCTTGCCTGACATGGCGCTACTATGGATTGGAAGTTTTGCAACGATCCTCTTATTAGAAACATCACGTATCGGATACAGTGAAACCAGATAAGGGTGTTAAAAGCGTCAATCGAGGTGGAGAGGGGCATACTAAAAAATAGGACTCGAGGCAAAGTGGAAAACCGCGGCCAGATCCACCGGAAACAGCAGATCTCATTGATGGTTAGTCCAAGGTGGCAGCTTTTTGATATTACCTGATATTATTGCTAGGTATTCTTTTTCTCAGCGATCACTTTATGCATTTCTGTGGAAAACATACGATTGCATCAGAACACACCAGTCGGGGACCTCTGCAATGTGTGGCTGTAAATTCGTCACACTGATTGGTGTTTGTTTTTACCGAATCAGTTCATGACTCATTCCCGATAATCGGATAGGACTGTTTTCGCATTCCTTTGATCTTCGTGGACGGTCGGTTTCTGTCGCGAATGTGCAGCATCATAAAAACAGTATCCACCAGAACATAAGATTCCTGGTACCTGATTTTAATGTTTCAGTAAGAAACAATAATAAGTTCGGAAATGGCAGTAAATCAAGTTTTCGATCAAGTTATGTCATCATGTTAAGATAGTCTCTTTGTCTAATAGTGATCTGAGAAGCTCCAAGTTGCACAAACTATTTTATGGAAACTAAAATGTCTCTTAAAACCGCAAACAGTTTCCTTTTTTCCTTTCCATACCTCAATTCCTGCGTTGGCAACATAATAGAAAGAAAACCTTTAGTGGTAGCATACTTGACCTTGTGTGTTTGTTCGATCGCAGTTGACTTTCCGTTCGTACTCATCCTCTCCCTAATAATTCCATCCCTGATCCTTCAGGCGATGTGATTGAATAGGTTCACGTGATTTGCGCAACTTGCAGTTCCTCAACCTTAAGCCGGTCTCCGGAATGTTTATGTTATACCCATGTTTGGCTCCTATCCAAATCTGTGTTCATGGCACCCCTGCTGTGCACAGTAGGATAGATATCTGAAACAGTCTGCCAACTATTTATTCTCGTTCATGCCGGTTGAGCAGTTGTCACGTCCTATCCTGCTACAGCTAGCTCATCCCATTAGCCCTATGTGGTCGTTGGTTCCGTAACAGAGGACATTGCTAGAAGCCCATGGGAGATCAGTATGGTGAACAACATCATATACTTTCTAAACTGGCGGTCAAACGACCTCGTGTTAGGTTGAAGCAATAAAAGTTGCATTGAGAATAATCCAGCAGCACTTGTAGGCGGGGCGGGTGGAAAATCCGCTTCTTATGCACACCGGTGAATTTGAGGAGACGCGAATGGTCGAACAAGCAATCACAACTTGTTACCATGAGAATGAGGGAAAAATGTTGATCATAGAGATGATTAGATTGGGTCCGTACTTGCGTAGTCTTGCAAAGGTAGTCATCGCGTTTCCTTATACTAACAGAATGAGCATGGTTACACAATGAATGGTTCCTATATAGCCCCTTTTACTCCTTCGGCTTTTCTTTGGAGTTCGCTAGTTCAATTGTTAACCTATAGTTTGCTTACTTCCTTATTTTGGGGGGTTTTGCACTGTTTACGTTTCACTTTTTCGTGGTGTGGTGATGGTGTGCTCAGAATAAGAATAAGTAGTGGTGTACTATTGGTGGTTCTCTGAAATGTTAAATAATGCTCAAATTTCGTAGAATGACAGTGAGAAGTCCGGCGGGAGGAAAGAAAATACAATTTTCCCTGGGTTCTTTCATCGATCATAGAGAAAACTGTGTATCATGCCAATCTATCGACCTTGTCTTCTTGAATTCTGATTGGTGTTGGACTAAGATTACATCTGAGTTTACATTCATTTTCCTCAAATATTTGAAGTGGGCAAACTCGTGTAAACATATCAGTGAGTAAAAAACAACGCTCAATCAGAACTCCCAAAATCCTCTTGTTTTCTTTCATTTGTTACAGCTTATGTGAAAGTGCGCCCATTTTTATTGGATCGATCGATGTCTGTCCAAATTACATTGGCTATTTTGAAGCCGGATGTTCAGCGAGTTGCTGCTTATCGTCGGGTATGTGGGCTGATGTCTCTGTGATCATTGCCACCAAGCTTTTCGCATCTCTAATATTATGCCGTTCTTCCTAGCTTTAGCATGTCCTTTTACTTCCTTTTTCTATTTATTGAATATACAAATGTACATACAGTCAACGTTCAGGAAGGGGGCTGGGGCCATACAAAGGCTGCCTGAAAAGTACAGAAATAGGGAAGACGGGTGGCGGTGGAGCGGTTTGAACCCGGGACACCCAGGTCACTAGTTGGTTATATTATCCGCAGGATTCGCGTGCTTTTATAACAGACCTGGTCTGGTACTACGATCAAACCTTTATTTTTCGAAAACAAGTTTCGCTCGGTAATTTTAATTGGTGGGAATAGCTGTTGACTTTCCTCCCCTGTTTAAACTATCTAAATATTCATATCGGCCAATTTTCTCGGTATTGAAACATGGTCTCATATTCACAACTGAAAACTACAAAGAGGCGTGATAATTTATGTATTTCAATTATCGCAATGTTCCGTTTTTTAATTTTAATCGTTTTTTGACTAGTCTAATTGTTTTTCTCGATTTTCGAGCTGCTATGTCATGCATACTACTGAAATTATCTTGAACTGTGACTCACGTGTTCGCTCGAAGGGAGATATCCACGTAGGCCGAATGAATCCAACTTAATATTTGGAGCGTTGACATGTATGGTTTTGCGTCTTGCATATTACTATTCTATTATACCGAGTCTGAAGATTCGGTTTTATCTCTCAGTACTTGTCACCCAATCATCGCGATCATCACTGACAACAACGGACTATGTGATACACATCATTTTAATCGTGACCGATCATGTTTATCTATTTTGGCAAATTGTCTTAGGAAATCAATGAGTAGGTATCATATCAATTATATCAATGCTGATGAATTCATTGGTTTCCAACACAATTTCATCGCCTATTTCTTACCGTTTTCGGGGTAATTTTTAATTACCAAAATTCCAAACTAAACCCGTTGCATCAATTGCTTTCGAATGATCCATAATCGTGCCTATAGATATCATATAATATCGAATAACTAGATAACTAACTTGCACGAGTCAACATACAAACATTTACAGCTTCCTCTCACTCAGACAGAAAAGAAATCTGATTTAGAGTCTCGCATCACGAGCGCGCAAGAACTCCTGCGAATATATATACTAGAACATAAGTCTGAAGGGGAACAGTTGTAAGTATATATATATATATATA